GTAGGCAGGGGAGTAAGGAAGGCAGCACCCATTTTGCTCTCAAAGTACTGCATGCGCAAGGCCCTCACCGTGATGACGTCCCCTGCCCGGACACTGAGAGCGGTGGGGTCGTGGAGGTTCCAGAAATCCTTGAGCGCCCGGACTTTCAGGATCCCTGAGGCCTCTACAAATGGGGGAGAGCAGGCATCATCTAAGCACCCGGAGGGCACCTCCCTCTCCACCCCCAGGCCCCACCCTTCCCCAGGGATCCTGGCTTCTCTTCCACATCCACATCGGGTATCTACAGGAGCCCCTGCAGGCCCCGGCTGGGTCTTTTCCCACTTACCCCGCAGTAGCTGCTTGATTTCCCGGCTGGCCTGGGAAGTGGTAAACTGATTCACGATGTCCAGCGCAGTCTGGTTGTATGTGTTTCGGATGTTCACGTCCACACCTCCCTGAGTGCAGTGTCACAGGAGCATGGACTACCTGTCATCTCTCCCCTAATCCTCGCAACCATCTAGGAGGTGGGGACTATGCACAGGTTCAGAGTTTACGGATTTATGGATGAGGAAATGGAATTTCAGAGAGTGGGTCAAGGACGAGGCCCTAAGAGGCAGGTCGGGGGTTGAAGCAGGTGGGGCTACTCCTGAGCCTTAGCACCCCTCACGGGAAGTGAACTTCCCACTGCCCAAGCAAAATGCCAAGGCCTCTCCAGCTAGTCTCAGCACATGGCAGAGACCCTGTTTGCACCTGTGAAGTGACCAGGTGCCTGTACCCACCTCCAGGAGCAGCCGTACCACCTCGGTCTTGCCGTACAGTGCAGCCTCATGGAGCGCTGTCCCAGTCTTGGTCTGCCGGTTGATCTCAATTCCAGCTCTCAAGAGCTGCCTGCAGGGGCACAGAGAGTCATGGAAGTCATGGGGTAGGGGCGGAAGCTGACTGCTGGGGACAGGGAGATCAAGAAGAGGACACCAACAGTCCCACAGGAAGGGGATGAGAAAGCGGGGTGGGGGGGCTCCCTGGGGGTACCGGATGACTTCTCTGTGGCCATTCTTGGCAGCCAAGTGTAGAGGTGTGGTATAGTTGGGGTCGCACGGGTCCTTGGCCTCACCCTCCAACAGCGCCACACATAAGTGGCTGTTCAGGAGCAGCTGGGCCACCTGCAGCACACAGTACCCAGTCAATGCCCCTTTCCAAGACCCTACAAACGTCCCGCACCCAGCATGCCAAGGACTGCAGGACTCACCTTGAGCCGCCCAAATTCACAGGCCAGGTCCAGGGGTGTCTTCTTGGCCTTGTTCACTAGGCATGGGTTGGACTGATGTTGGAGGAGCATTTCTGACTGGGGTGGAGGGAGCTGAGTGAAGAGGCTCGGCCTGGCCTGGCCTGCCATCCTCGCCCCATGCCACTCCGCCCAAGGGCCCCCCCGGGCAGCTTACGTACCACCTCATAGTGTCCATACTGTGCGGCCAGGTGCAGTGGGATCTGCCCATCCAGCGATGCAGCATTGACGGCCGCAGAGGCCCGGAGCAGCAGCCGCACGGGCTCCAGCCGGCCCTGCCAGGCTGCGTAGTGCAGCGGACGCATGCCTGGCAGGAGGACACATATGCCTGAGAGAGGTCCTGGGTGACTTGGGGTGCTGGCCAGGAGGGGAGGCAGCCCAAGAATGTGCTGTGACACTGCCTGGATTCGGGTTTGGTCAGGAAGTGGTCTGTGTGGCTGCAGTTCCACCTAGCCTACCACAGATGATCTGGCAACCCCGGGACTGTGACAGAACCTCTCTTGAGCCTCAACCTCCTCCTCTGAGTAACAGGACAGCAGCATCACGATCAGAGGGAAAGGTATGTGCAAGGCTAGAGAAGCTCTGCAAACAGCTAGCCTGCTGTGTCCTCACAGCAGCAAGCTCTGGTCCCAGGGCCTCACCATTGCTGTCCTTGATGTCCACAGTGGCCTGAGCCTCCAGCAACAAGGCTATGAGCTCCAAGCTGCCCCCCAAGGCAGCGTGGTGGAGAGCGGAGAATCTGGGGGGGTGGCACAAAGTAGGGAGTGTCAGTGACCCCCCCAAACCCTGTCTTCCACACCCAAACTCATCCTGGGGGCTGGCAGGGATGGGTTACCGCCCCCCGCCCCATCAGCCCTGTCGTGGGAGCGCACAGCAGCCTGGCCACAGCATGAAAGGAACCAGTGTCTAGACTGAGAGGCCTGTTTGTCTGATGTGCAACCCCCCAAGCCAGCCCAGGGGAGAGAGCCATGGGAGCAGGAGCCCTTAGGCTCCCACCCTCCAGGGAAAAAGGGAGCCCAGGACGAATCTGGTTCAAGGAGGTCCCTTGGAGTGGCCCCAAGGCTCTTCCCCTCAATCGGGGCTAATTCCACAGTAGGTTGGGTGGGCAAGACCTCTTGCCCAAGCCTAGGACCCAGAGCTGTCAGCGAAGGCAGTTTGAGGGCCAAGTTCGAAAGGAGCAGGGCCCTGGGCCCTGGGGCCATTCCCTCCAGCCCCTCCCCCAGGGCTCTGATCCGCTCCCCTCACCCCCACCCCACAGCAGCACTCACTCACCCATCAGCATCCTGGTAGTTGACATTGAGCCTCTTTGTGGAGCCAAGGAGCTCTGGGGGACAGGACAGGGGCATCAGGAAAGATGCTGTCGCCACCCACACCGTCACCTGGCATTCCTGCCACCCACCTCCCGGAGCCCAGTTGACCTCTTGGTGTGCAGAACACCTGCCCCATGGTCCTTTGCCGGTCCTGTCCCTATGGTTCTCATCCTGGCCCACAGGCACGAGTGCAGGGAGCCCCTGTAGCAGTGGCCTGGCTTCCTGGGGCCCCAGCCTGGCTTGTTTATAGAGCCATAGTGGGTGGGAGGGGGTGCTGGCACGATGTACCCTAACCAACAGGCCCACGGAGCACATGGTTAGCATTCCTGCTTTGAATGGGCTAGGGAGCGAGTCACATCGTCCCACTGGCCCAAGGGGGCGGGCAGGAATAGCAAGGAGAGGGCACTAGGTATTCCAGGGCCGAAATGCCAGGGCTGGGCTCGAGAGAGCCTGGGGAGGGTGGTATCACACCCACCTGCCCTTGGCCATGGCTCTGCGGAGTGCTAGCTGGAAGAGTATGGGCAGGTCATGGGGATTCTCTGGCTCAGTGTTCTTTTTGCACAGGCATAGTAAACACAGTGCCTATCAGCATGCAAGATGGCAGCCGTAGCACTCCTGACAATGCTGATTGTTACAGCACCATGTTATCCTCCTACAAGAGCTGGTACCCATCCCGACCAAAACGCTGGGTCTCAGCTACCTTGGCACCCACAGGCTCTTGGCTGAGCTGTGCAGGCCCCAGGCAGAGGAGCAGGGGCACTGCCTCCCCACAGCAGGTGCATGCAGGTAAGTGCCCTGTGGCAGTCCTTGTGGTGTTGCGGAGGGAAAGGAGGTGGCCTGTCACGAGCAGCCCCTGCCTCCTGTTAGAACCCACCCCTGCTGGGGAGGGGGCCCGGTTCAACCCAGGCTGGGCAGGGTGCCAAGCATGCTGGTCCAGGCCTGCCCCCCAGGCCCTGGTGGGCCTCTGAATACCCCAGCAGCCCGGATAAGGCAGGGCCTCATTCCAACAGGGGAGGAACTAAACTTGCAGTGGGATGGGGAGGAGGAGGACGGGACAGCTATATGCAGGGCTGAGCTGAAGGACTCTACTCCAAAAAGGTAAACACAGAGCCAAGGACGGCAGGGAAGCGAAGTGGTGGGGGCCATGGGAGGAAGTGCAGACCTCCAGCTTTCCCTTTGTCCCTGTGGAAAGTACTTGTCACCCAGGGGAAAGAACATGGGCTCGGGAAGCGAGAAGTACCCAGCTCAAATGCTCTCCTGCCTCGTCCTGCTGTGTGACTTTCATAAACCACAGGGTCTCTGCGCCTCAGTGAAGACAGAGGTCCCCGGGGTAGAGACACAGGGTCCTTTACCCTGCTCACCCTCCCGCCAGCTCACCAGCATGGGCATTCTGGGATGGGGCAGCTGGGTGGTGGGATGTGGCTCCTCCAGGGGAGGGGCAGGACAATGTGACAGGAGGGACACAGGAACAGGGGTAGGCCAGGCTGGGTGGCTCCGTTCTTTCCAGAACAATAGCCGGAAAGGTGGTGGGGAGAGGCTCAAAATGACAGGGCCGAGGACCGCGGAGGGTGGGTGGAGGATCTGGTGCGGAGAGCCTTCTTGCCTGGCCTGTCTCTGACTTAGGCTCAGGCAGAGGACGTGAGCTCAGCCAGCCACCCCAGCCCACTCCATTTCCTCTCACAGAGGAGACCTCAGCAAAAGGAGGTGGGAAAGGGTGAGGGACGGGGCAAGGCCAGGCCACCTGCTCCCTGATGAGGAGCTGGCTGGCGGGAAGGGGCACAGGCTGGCAGCTGGCTGGAGGAGCCTGAGGAGCAGCTCTCTTCTACTCTCTGGATAGCCAGACAGCTTTAGCCATCACAGGAGGAAAGAGGGATCCCTGACACCCCACAGTTTCCTCTGCCTCTCTGTAGTGTGGAGCAGAGATCCTCACCTCCCTTCGGAGAACTGCATTAGAATCACCTGGGGAACTTTCTAATCTGGTGATTTCAGTTTGGTGGAGGGCTGTCCAGGGAATCCAGACTTTTAGAACAATCCCTAGGCAGTTCTCTCCACTCCCACACTGGGGACTGGACCCAGGACTTTCACACATCCCCACCTCCTTTTATTTTTATTTTGAGACAAGGTTTCATTAAGTTGCCCAGGCTGGGCTGGAACTTTTGATCCTCCTGCCTCAGCCTCCTGGGGTGCTGGGCTCCTGGGTAATTCTGATATGCACAGAACCGAGTAAAGATCAGCACGGGAGTACAGGGGAGGAGGCACAGGTTTGTCTCAGATACACCCCACTATGGCTACGTGGCCTTGGGCAAGTTACTAACCTCTGTGTCACTTTATGTGTACAATGGATGTAGGAATACCTATCTCACAGAGGAGTGAGGAGATTACATTTCATTAACTCTAAGGTTTGCAAAGATGACCCTGTGATCTCACTTTGTCACCAACCTTTCCAAGGTAGGGTGCCTGAGCCTCACAAGGAGTCCCAGGCCCGTGACTCTGCTCCTTTGCAGGTGAATTCTCCCCTTGCCCCACGGATGCTTCCTACTGGCTGTAAGCTTCCCACCATCAGCCTGCAGGGCAGGGAGGCCAGCAGCAGCGTGACCAAGGCCTCACTAGGAAGGTGGCCAAGAACAACACAGGGGTAAGGAAGGAGGGCAGCGGCTCTCTCTTGGTCCTCAGGGACCTCCTATCAGGCTCACCCAGGATCCACATCACAGGACACGACAGGCAGCCCTACCCACCTGGTGTGCAGGTAGATGCACGCCACCAAGACCTTTCCTTGTGGCACCCATACCTGAAGCGTGGGTGGGGGATAATAAGATGTCTCCAGGTAGCCTGGGGACTCCTTCCTGGGAACAGGGGCCAGGTGACTCTTGGGGCAAGAGCCCCAGCACTCAGAGACTTTCCCCTCCAGGAAACTCCCCTTCCAGCTCCAGTTAGAACCAGCAGCTATCCTTCCAGTTTAGAATCTCAAGGTGACAAATCCAGTGGCATTTGCTCTTTCTCTCCCCTAGAGAGTCTGCCCTGCCGGCCAGAGGCCCATTCGCCCCGTGGTGGTGGTGGTGGTGATGGTTGTTTCCCATCAGAGGGCCCCCAGAGATGAGGCTCAGGAGTGGCCCGGTGTATGACTTGAGTCCCATGACCCTGTCAGGACTGAATCCCCGGGCTGTGAAAACCTCTAGAAAATCACACACCGCAGGGGACAAAGGTAGATTTAGTCAGAGAAAAGTAGCTTTAGTGAGTGGTCCAAACGTGTTAAAGTTAAAACAAACAAAACACATCTCTCTTATTAAAAGATACAGACATCCCCATTAAGTTCAGAAAAAAACACAGGAGATGCTGGCTGAAATGTGTATATGGGATTGGGCGTGGGCACGGAGCCTCTGTGTATTCAGTCTTTCCCAACCCAATGCCAGAATGCTGTGGCACCAAATAACACATCTATAAAGCTATCTGCAGCGAGCCGCTTCAAGAGGGCCCAGGACTTAGAATAGAGCCTAGCACACAATACACACTCTGCAAAAGTTTGAATAAATCTGCTTCAGTCCTCTCACTTTGCAGTCAAGGAAACTGTGGCCCAGAGAGGTTAAGTGACTTGCCTAGGAACACATAGCAAGTGGGTCCCAACCTCCCTTCTGGCTTGCCTAAACAATGCATTTCTTGTCTAGAGCAGGACCATCTTCCCTCCTCAACTCTGCAGATCACAGTGACCCCTCCCCACCCTCCAGGCCTCCCTCAGTAACCTCAGTATTAAGAGGAGGACCTCCATGGGACCGTCACCTCAGTAAGTACTCACTGGTCTTTGTGGCCTTGACCTTGGCCACCAGTTTCTGCACTCCAGTCACATCTCCGTTTTTGACGGCAAGAATCAGATCCTGTTCTCGACCCATCCTGGCTCCTGGGCCAGGCTTGGGCTCAGGGGTCCAAGGCAGAGGTGAGGACACTGGTCCAAGCAGAGCGTCAGCATGCCATGCCTCTACCCCTTGGAGGTCTTCCAGGTCTGGGGGAGTCTGCGGGGACACGTGTGCTGTCCCAGGCAGTAGGTTCCTTGTCAGGTGCTGATGGGTACTCCCCCAAGCTGCTCCGTGAGCTGCCACCACAGGCAGGAAAGTGTCTCTGAGGAGGCGGCAGCTGTGTGGAAATCTGGAAGGATATCAGCCTGCAGCTTCCGACAGCCCCGGGATGGGCTGGGACTGGGAACGCCAATCTTCCAGGCTTGGTTCGGGAGCACCAATGCCCACCCCAAGAGGAGCCAGCATTCCCTCCGGCCTTGGGCAGCAGCAGTGGGCTGGTCCTGGGGGTCTGGAAAAACTGCAGCTTTGGTGGAAGTTTGGGCCACAGCCTGCAAGGATCCCAGGAGGACACAAAGGGTGAGCAGGGCAGAATCTCCAGGGAGCCCCCAGCCACCCCGGTTGCCAAACGGAATCAGGAGGGGCTCAGCTACATGAAATGGGGAGGCAGCTGCCATGCCTGAGAGGAGTATGTGCAGGGAGGGGGAGGCTGAGTCACCGGGGCCGCAGGGCACGGGGCAGCACCTCAACCCTGGGCAGGAGGGGCCCTGGCAGCACAACACACTGGGGCAGGCCAGGCCAGCAGCTTGTTCTCCACAGCCCCGGGCTCCAACACCCACAGACAACCGGCGGGCCAGGAGGTGGGGCCTGAGAGGGTGGCACAGGCAGGAGCAGGGGTCACTCCCTTTCCTAGGCGCCTACCCTCAGCCTCCTCCCCACCTACCCGGTGCTTTAATAGTTGGATGCTTAGCCCTGCGGCCCTTTGTAAACTGGGGGCAGCATGGGGAGTTTATGGGCCCCTGATTCTGGGGGAATCTGCCTGCTGGGCAGGGAGGCCCTGCAGCACCTGTTGCTGACCCTCCTCACCACTCAGTGGGCAGAGAACAGTCACTGCGGGTCAATGCTCCCCCGCAGCCTGAACTGAAGCCCAGAGTCTCCAGCATACTGCTGGAAACCTTATGTCAGTTCTTCGGTGGCGGTGAATTCGTCGCCAGTCTTGTGGCAGGAGACCTGTGCAGGCCTGGGGCCCTGGCGGGGAACCCCTCACTCCCCCTAGCTCCCAAACCCAACCCAAAGGCGCTCCCCCTCAAGGCCCGCGGCCGACACTGGGGGAGGGCTCCCCAGGCACTGCCTGGGGTCTGCTGGCTTCCCCCGCCCCTCGGAATGCCCCTCCAGCGCCGCGCACCCCCCAGCCGAGCCCAGTCCAGGCCGACGCGGGAACAAAGCGGCAGGAGGACTTCCCCCGCCCCTCGGAATGCCCCTCCAGCGCCGCGCACCCCCCAGCCGAGCCCAGTCCAGGCCGACGCGGGAACAAAGCGGCAGGAGGGACCGAGAGGGCCAAGCGCCGAGGGATAGATGCGGGAGGACGAAAAGGGGGCGCGCGGAGGGCGGAAGAAGCGGAGATGGAGGTATCCACCGATCCCTCAAGAAAAGTTAGTTTGCGCCCGCCCCCAAGGGTGCTGACCCCCAGGTCCGGCCCCGCAGTCTCACCTCTCCCAGCTGCTCCGCCGGGGGTCCGGCTGGCCCAGCTCAGTCCCCTGGCACTTCGGACGATAGCTTCCACTACCCCCCCACACACCTTTCTCCTCCTTCGACTGCTCTCCCAAGGCCGACTCTGCGGCTCCTGCAGGAAATCCCGCCCCTCCCCCCTCCCTCCCGCCAGATCGGGAGAGAGGGACCGTCCCGGCCGCGCACTCGGGCTGTCAATCAGCGCCCTTGTCCCGCCCCCATCCGCGCCAGGCCCCGCCCCCAACCACGCCAGTCCGGACCGCGGCACTACCCGCATCGGAGCATGCGTGCAGGTGAAAAGGAGTCGGGTGCGCAGTGGGTGGAGAGTTCGCGCCGCCGCGTTCCCAAAGTGGGTCCTGGGCGAACTGGGCTCTACGATCTAGATCGAAGGACGGGAGAGAAGACATGATATGAAAGAGTTTGGCAACAGAATCCCGGGAACCCTTCTTGTGGAGCCCCCTTTTCTCTTTGACCGCGCCCCTCTCAGGACTCTCCCGGCGACCGCTGCCGACGGCCGGAGTGGCCGACCCATCGCCACTGGCCGGAGCAATGGTGCCACCTAGCGGACAGTGTCGGGGCAGCCCACGGTAACGGCGGCGGGGACCCCAACCTCCAGGAGGCGCTATTGGAGGATTGGGGTGCCGCTTCAGCACCAGCGTGGGTCGGACAGCGCCTCCTACCCTCGAAACCTGGCTTCGGAACCCCTCGGTTGGGACCCAAAGGCGGGGCCAGATGGAGCTCCGAACCTCTCTTGACCACTGTAGTTTACAAAGCTACGATTTGATAACTGCCGCTCTCCGTTCTCTAAACCCCTCTTCCCTCCTTGGTCGGACGGCGGTGGGGATTAAGGCAGCCTGGTGCTGCAGCGAGGAGGGTCACACATTTGACGGCTCATGCCACACTCCCAGAGGCTAGTTTGAGGTTTTACTAATAGGGTCCCTGAAGAGGGCTGGGGACAGGACAGAGGAGCTCCTGCACATCCGATAACCTGCAAGCTAATCTCAGTCTCCGGTACCGAGGCACACACACATATATGTGGGCCGGCGCTAGGACCCAAGGGAGCCAGGAAGGCGGAAAGCTAGTAGGGGAGGAGCCGACGTCATCGGCCGGCTCTAGGGCCGCTCGGAGTTCCGGTGGTGGGCGGGCCACACTAGGCGCGCGCAGGCGCAGACTGCGGCCAGATGGAGCC